AAGGGAAGGATCTGTACTCCCTGTGCTTGAATCGGCCCATGAAAAGCCAAAGTGGCCTGCCTGGGGGTCTGGGCTACACCTGGAGAAGACCAATTAAGCCATAGAAAAGATAGGCCAGCAAGGACCCCAATTCCCAAGAGGAGAAAATATGAGCAGAGCATCCAGAACATTCTGTCCAAGAAGAAACAGAATACTGAGAATATACCACCTCGCTAAGGGCTAAGCCTACCAGTTAAAACTTCTGGATATCATTTTTTTCCCTATTAGATAGCTTCATTTTGAGGATGAGTAATGCAGGAAAGGGCTTCAGTGTGCAAGTTCTCTCTTACACTGCTTCCAAAAACAACCTTTAAAAAATTGTTTATTGTTCTTTGAGAATTTCATACGCATACACTGTGATTTTATCACACTTACCCCTACTCCTCACCTAACCCCTCTCAGATCCACACCCACCCCGCAACTTTGTGTCCTTTTTTTTTTTTTTTTTAATAACTCACAGAGTCCAGTTTGAACTGTTTGTTCTTAGGAGTATGAGACCATCACTGGAGCACAGCTGACCCACCGGGGGCCATAACCTTAAAGAATGCTGGCTGCCTATCTTCCAGCAGTCATCAGTTGCTGTTAGCTCTTCAGCAAAGGGTGGTCGCTTGTGAGCCCCTCCCCACTCCATGCTAGAATGGAGTGGCTTGATCTTGTGCACAGTTGCTGGGTTTCTTTTAGCCTCTAACTCTCAAGTTATTGAGTATGACATTGACTTCTGAGATTCTTGCCCGTACCTCCTGAATACTGAGATTATAGGTATAAAACACCATTCCTAGTTTCTGTGGTGCAGGGGCTGGAACCTTGTGAGAGATAAGCAGGCACTCTACCATACTGAGAACCCCACTTTTGAGAATTGTCAGGCTGGGGACTGACATGTTTTTGTACTCTGTGTCCAGAACTTAGAATAATCTAGGGTAAATCTCGAGCTGTGGAGGTGGCTCTGTGTGTAAAACACTTGTCTGAAAAGGTGAGGACCAGAGTTTGGGATCCCAGAAGCCATTTAAAATCTGGAAGCGTGTGATGTCTGCTTGTGAGGCAAAGACAGAACCTCTAGTGCAAGAGAGGCTAAATTGTTGAAGTCTGGGTTCAGTGAGACACCCTGAGTCCTTGCTTTCTTTTCTTTTCCTTTTTTAAAGAATTACACTGTCACTATCTTCAGACACACCAGAAGAGGGCATCAGATCTCATTACAGATGGTTGTGAGCCACCATGTGGTTGCTGGGAATTGAACTCAGAGCCTCTGGAAGAGCAGTCAGTGCTCTTAACCACTGAGCCATCTCTCCAGCCCCACCTAGTTTGCTTTCTATTGTGGTAATATCCATCATAACCAAAAGTAACACAGGAAGAAAAGGGTTTATTTCACCTTACAGTATACAGTCCATCATGAAAGCAAGTCTGGGCAGGAACTCAGAGCAGGAAGCTGGAGTTGGAAAGCAAGGCAGAGACCGTGGAAGAATACTGCTTGCTAGCTTGCTCTCAGGCTCTCCTTCAGTTACCTTTCCTCCCAGGACTACTTGCTCAGAAGTGGCACCACCCACAGTGGGATGGGCCCTCCCACACCAGTTGTCAATCAAAATGTACTATGGACTTGCCTACAGGCAACCTGATGGCATCATTTTCTCAGCTGAGGTTCCTTCTTCCCAGATGACTCTAGTTTGGTTTAAGTTGACAAAAACCTACAACCAGCATGCTCTCCCTCAATAGACAAAGTAGAGAGTTAGGGAGAAGATGCCAAATGTCAACCTCTGGCCTCCACACACATATCAACATACACGCATGTACATAGGTATAAACACACACACGCACACATACACACACAAACACACATGCACAGAGAGAGAGCGAGAGCGAGAGCGAGAGCGAGAGAACAGGCCAAAAGGGCAAAGAGGAAGAAGAAATTAATTATTTTTCTCCATAACTATGGAAACTGCTGTTATTGTTTTCTCTGCTTTGCAGACAGAGAAACAGGTTTACAGAATAAAACCTGTCCAAGGGCAAATAATGCTGTCCTGAAGATGAAATTTAAACCCAGATCTCTGAGTCTAAGACCTGTGTTCATGTCTATTATGCTTTTCTGATCCAAAGCCTTAAAGTCTCTCCGTAAAGTCCCTCATAAGTCATTGTTGTTGAAGTAATCCACCCCAAGAGAGAAATTAGACACACAGGAATGATAAATATTTTTAAATGGCCCATATACATGGAGAATTGCTAACACCTCATGTGTTTACAATAGCATAGACAAAAGATAAAACCACATTTGTATTTATCAACACTCATTGTGAAGAATTTTTAATTGTAGTAAAATATCAATAACATAATAAATGTATAAAGGTAGGTATAGATACTTAAAGTCATTTGCCAATCAAGCCTGATGTCCTGAGTTCCGTCCCTGAGCGCCATCCCTAAAATCCACGTGGTAGAAGGAGAGAACCAAGTCCCATATGCCGTCTTCTGAACTCCATGTGCAAACTGTAGTATATGTGCACACCACACACACAATTAAATAAATAAAGTGTAACTTTTGAAGATGGTTATTGAACCACACAGTCTGTGGTCTCCAGGAAATCTGTCCACATTGTGACAGAAGTAGTCTTTGAGCCAGGCGGTGGTGGTGCACACCTTTAATCCCAGCACTTGGGAGGCAGAGGCAGGGGGATTTCTGAGTTCGAGGCCAGCCTGGTCTACAAAGTGAGTTCCAGGACAGCCAGGGCTACACAGAGAAACCCTGTCTCGAAAAAAACCAAAAAAAAAAAAAAAAAAAGTAGTCTTTGATTGATAATGATCAGGTGACTGTTTCAGATCAATAGTGGAGGAGATGCTAAATGTCCTCAACACTAAGAAACAGTCTGTGATGACAGATGCCACCCACCTGATTACTTCACACGTTCACGTGTGCTCAACCAGCACCGTGCATTCAACAGACGTGTACCGTTACGTGTGTCAATCAGAAGTAAGAAGCATCTGGGAGAGGTGGCACATGCTTACTGTAGCTACAGCACTCAAGAGGTGGAGGCAGAAGGATTCTGAGTTTGAGGCTAGCCTGTGCTACACAACAAAACCTCGTCTCAAAGCAAACAACAGAGGAAGCAGCGATCTTTGGAGTGGTCAGACAGGAAAGCCAGTGGGTTTTGTTTTCTTCCTTCTGAATTCTCCACAGTCTGTGAAATTAATTTACTTTTCTCATCCATAAAAGTCATGCATTTTATCAAATCCACAGAAGTTGTTGAGACACTCCCACCCTAAGGCTGGCTAGGTTCATCAGTGGGGAGAGAAGATCCGGCTGTGGGTGGAGAGCAGGAAGGGCTCTGAGAAGGACAGAGTCACAGGCTGCCTGAGATGCAGGGACATGAAAGACCCACCTCTCCTGCTTTCTCTCTCCTCCGTTAAATCCTGGGTGCAGGTCACAGGGAAAAGCTTGAGAGAACCGTGGGTGAGCCATCCCTCTGCAGGTAGGGTAGAACAGCATACTCACTACCCCCTGAGGCTGGCGGCTGATGAGAGAGACCCAAGAGCCAGTGCATGGATACAAGTACTGACAGGTCCATGAGTGGAGCCAGCCCAACATGGGGAAGGAAAGGAGGAAGGAAGGGAATGCCCCACTGAGGATTTTTCTCATCCCTCAGTGGGTTACGACTGTAACCTTTCTTTTAGGCTACTTTATTGGGTTCTTTTACCCACCACCCTTCTCCACTTCCATCCCTTCCAACCCCACAGCGCTGGGTAGGCAAGAAAGAAGGTTAGAGGGGAAAGGAAGAGTCGGTCTCATTAGACTAACTCCTGCTGATTAGGGGTGCTGAGTTCCTAGAGGCAAGTTTGGTCTCTGCTATCAGGATATCCAATCTTTTCCTCTCACCAACTTTGCTCACAAACCATGTGACAAACCACAACAGCAGCAACCAGCAGGAACAGGGGCGCAGCAGCTCCTTCCTTTCTCGGGGCTCTGGCATTTATATACCTACCCTCTGAAGAGTTCCCCAGAATTCCAGATGTAAACTATCTTCAGCTGGCAAAAATCATGCACACTGCCAGAGCATGAGACAAGTCACAGTCAGCTGCTGTGGATGACCCGAAGCAGCCCCATATCCCACACCTGGGATCAAAGCAAAAACATATCCACGTGACATAACTGACTTTTTTTCTTTAAAAGATTGCTTACTTATGCATATGAGTACACCATTGCTCTCTTCAGACACTCCAGAAGAGGGCATCGGATCCCATTACAGATGATTGTGAGCCACCATGTGGTTGCCGGGAATTTGAACTCAGGACCTCTGGAAGAGCAGTCAGCACTCTTAACCTCTGAGCCATCTCCCCAGCCTGCTTACCTTATTCTTTAAGACAGGGGGTTTCTCGGTGTGCCTGGAGTTTGATGCTCCAGTGAGACTGGCTGGCCACAGACTCCCTAGGATGTTTCTGTCTCCACTCCCTTGCGCTGGGATTATAGGTACCTGCTACCACGCCCCGATCTCCTTTGGGAATGCTGGCAATCCAAACTTAGATCCCCATGCTGCACAGTTTTCTGAGCTGTGTCCCCAGCCACAGTTTAAATTGTATCAATGTATTGCCATGTATCATTTTAAAACTCCTGTTCCTAATTCTGTCTCCTCATTCTGGTAAGAGCTCTTAGACATAAGAAACATGGAGGGCTTTCCCATACATCCATGAGCAAAACAGAACTGTTGAAGGTGCCGGTAGCTGGGGCAGAGGTCGGGAGTCAGTCCTAGTGTTAGCGGAGGGCATGTGGACGTGTCAGGGGCGTCTACTGGGCAGAGAGCTGACAGGGGAAATGAGCCTGGGCACGAAAACAAGAAGCTAGGGCAGGGGGCTCTGGCTTCCCTCATTCCTCAGTGTGGGAGAGCGCCTCCCCAGTAATACAAAACCATTTTGAGATGCAGAGCACCTGTCACCACCTCCCATTTCTGACCACAGGAGGCCACAGAGAAAGCGATCTCCCTGGGATGGAGCCGTTGGCAACGACCTTGTGTCCTCTGGAATCCACACAATCCACCGGAAATGAAAGCGAAAATGAAACCACCTGGTATTTGGAGTATGTGACTGAATACACTTTTACCTCACTCACTCTGGTCATTTGTTCCCTGGGAATGGCTGGGAATGGCCTTTTGATATGGTTCCTGATCTTCTGTATCAAGAGGAAGCCATACACCATCTACATCCTGCATCTCGCCGTTGCCGACTTCATGGTCCTCCTCTGTTCATCCAGCATTCAGATAGTGAAGATTTTCGAGATCTTCGATTTCACCCTAATGAGCTATATCATCCTCTTCATGATCTTTGGCTACAACATGGGCCTGCACCTCCTCACGGCCATCAGTGTGGAGCGGTGCCTCTCCGTGCTTTACCCAATCTGGTACCATTGCCGACGCCCGAAACACCAGTCGGCTGTGGCCTGTACACTGCTGTGGGCCCTCGCTTTTCTCGTGTCTGGTTTGGAAAGCTTCTTCTGCTCTATGCTAGGGGATCCCCAGTTCCCAGAATGCTTGTATGTGTACATATTCTCCAGTACCTTGACTTTCCTGGTCTTCGTCCCTCTCATGGTCTTCTCTAATTTGATCCTCTTCATCCAAATCTGCTGTAACCTGAAGCCACGTCAGCCGGCCAAACTCTATGTGATCATCGTGGCTACCGTCATCCTGTTTCTCGCCTTTGCCATGCCCGTGAAGTTGTTGTTTCTCATCAGCTACTGTTACTATTCTAATGATGATTCTATAGAGGCAGCCCTCCTCTACCTAGACCTGGTGTCCAATATAAACTGCAGTGTCAACCCAATTGTCTACTTTGTGGTAGGCAGTCTGAGGAGGAAGAGGAGTAGGAAGTCCATAAAAGAAGCACTGCAGAAAGTCTTCGAGGAAAAGCCAGTGGTGGCCTCGAGGGAGAATGTGACACACTTCTCCCTGCCTTCATGTCCTTCTGCTAGGACATCCCCATCCCCAAGGAAGGATGCCTGATGTTATCCCCTATGGGAACATAACACTGTTATGTAACCACTTTTCTCTGTTCTCAACTGGTGGCTCGCTGAGATTGAAGTCCTTCATTCCTCCTGGAAATAAATGACAAGGCACACTGAGCACATGGCACGCTTGCCCACTGAGGGCTTAACAGGAGCTAGTACTTTTCTCCAGTCCTGGGGATTGGATCTGGGCTCTCATATGTGCTAGGCTCGTACTCTAGCCCAGAGACCTGTCTTCCCAGCACTAAGCTCTGCGTGTCCCAAACACTATCATCTTCCACTGTTGTCAATCCACTGTCACAGATAGAAGTAAGAGCCTAGAAAGGTTATAAGATATAGGTGGTGCTGAGCCAGACTGCAACCTAAGGAGTCGGCCCTTCAAATCCACCCTTGAGACCGTAAGACCCAGCGCAGTCTTTGAGAGGTACTATAAACTGTGTATACTGTTGTTATCAATACTTCTCAAGTTCCTCTCCCTTGACCTCCTCTGTCCTGTGCTTTGGATGCGTCAGAGGGAAACATGTTAGTCCATATAGGGGACATCCATGTTCTCTTTCAAAGCATCTTTCAGTCTCTGCACCTTGAGAACTCATCATGGGACCAGTTGAGAGAGGGATGTCCCACGAGTCCTTTAAAGATGGCATCCTATAAGAGTTAGAGGGTCCTCAACAAGGCGGGTGAAGCTTGGCTTAGACATGGAGATTCCCACTTTCTCCCCTGCCTCCCCTTCCTCTTCCCACCTATCCTCCACCCCTATCTCCCTCCTTCTCTGGGTTTCTTCTATTTTTGTTTTTTTTTTTTTTTTGAGACAAGGTCTTACTGTATAGCTCAGCCTGACCTCCAGCTTTCGATGCTCCTGCCTCAGACTCCCGAGAGCTGGTTTTCAGGAATGTTTCAGCATCCCCCATTTCCTATCTTTTGTCCCTCCTCACTCCTTCTTCCTGTTGCTTAAATATGAGCTGATTACATGCCTAGGAACAACATGCAATGCATTTTTTATTACGAAATGTGTACACAGCAGACCCACGCTCTCCCTCAGCTCCCTCAGCCACTTCACCACCATCCCTTTAGTCCTCGGCTCTGCGCTGAGCAGCTGATTGGAGATGCTGCTTCTGATACTTCTGAAATGGAGTGTTTTCTTTTTTTTTTTTTTATTGCAAAGAAAACATTCCTTGGTAGTCCCAGGGCACTGTGGATGGCCTTTGCTATTTTAAGGTCAGTCCCAGCTTCTTTCCAGCACTATTAATATATTTTGCTCATCCAGTCATTTTCTTACTGGGAGGATAAACCCAGAATGCAACTGGATTTCATAAAATAAGTCCTTAAATGTAAACCCGACAAGACTAGGGATCATACTGACCACTCTAGCATTTGGTGGCTTTGGGCCTGTTCCAACTAAGATGAGAAGTTCCATCTATAGCTCACGAATTAGAAAATGTTTTTTTTAATAAATATGACAGCAGGGTATAACGTATGGGATGCTTGACTAAACCTAGAATAAAGATGATGGGATATCAATAGATACATGGGTAAAAGGGTAACTGGTGGGTGGCTTATAATCCCACTATAAACAAGCAAAAATGACCCACAGTCAGAAGTGTTTCAACTCAGTGAACTCAGCCATCACCAGAAACGGAGCCCGGCATGACAGTATCTCCATAATGGAAATGCCCAGGGCTGGGAGCAGGAGGCTTCCTGTGTGTTTGATGCTATTCTGAGCAACCTAGTGAGATCCTGCCTCGAAATAAATAATAAAATAAAATAAAACATCTGAATGTCGTTTTAGCCCACACATATGGAAAAGCCAAAAATAAATTGCTGTATGTATGTGTGCGGTACTGGAGGGACAAACCTATGGCTTCACGTCCTAGGCAAGCCCTGATCCTTAATCCCAGCCAAGGGTGACTGTTGGTGAGATCGTCTATCTTTGTGGGGTTCAGCGTACTCCATCCTGAAACGGGTCTGGTTTGTGGAGTTTTGAGAAGTGGACTTTTCCTTTGGTCCTGCTGCTGAGTTAGGAGGGTGTCTTGTCAATAACCTGGGAACACAACCTTACGTCCTCGTCAAACACGCAGCTGTGAGAAAGTGCCTGAAATCACTGGCAGGCTAAGACGGGATGCTGGGACACTGGGCCGCTTCAGAGCTAGAAGCCAGACAACATCGTTGTTTCCATAATGGGCACTTTACTTCGATGGGGAGTATTTGGCTTGCTCTGAGAAACGCTGTAAGGGATTGTCTTGGTGACCTTTCCCCTGAATTTGACAACAGGACATAGCTGTGAAATCCTGTGAAGCCACGAGAGCGACACCGATAGCCTCGCGTTTTTCTCATTTTTGTTTTTAATGTCAAAAGGCTGAGAAACAAACTATGACCACCACCCCCAAACCCCACCCAGTCCCTAAAGCATCGCCAGAGGACCACTCGCTGGGTTAAGCATTTCCTTACGCTCTGCTCCTGACGGAGGCAGTTACTTATTTCAACCTCCAGGGGTCGCTCGCTCTGCTTTAGAGAACCACTGCAGTGACAGAAGGAGTTATAAATGGTGTAATTTCAAGTAAACAGAAACCTTCAGAAGCTTCCCTGAGAACTGAAGGAGGCTCTTTGAAACTGGGGGGAAGTCAGGCAGGAGCTAGAAGTTTCCTGGACTCTGCCCTTTCCTGACCTTCATTCCATGTCAATTCAGGGCAATGAAAATGTCCTATTCTAAGCCGGGTGGTGGTGGTGCACACCTGTAATCCCAGCACTTGGGAGGCAGAGGCAGGCGGATTTCTGAGTTCGACGGCAGCCTGGTCTACAGAATGAGTTCCAGGACAGCCAGGGCTACACAGAGAAACCCTGTCTCGAAAAACAAACAAACAAACAAAAACCCCCCCCCAAAAAAAAAAAGAAAAAGAAAATGTCCTATTCTGTATCACTGTGGATCGAAGAAACACCAAGTGTATGTCTCCGAATGTATGTTCCTCTCTGTATTAGTAACTGTGCACTTGATAGCTGAAGCCAGGCTGGCGACATGGCTCAGTAGGTAAAGGTGCTTGCCGCTAAGCTCCATGACTTGACTTGTATTCCACACGGTGGGAACAAAGAACCAACCTTTGCAAGTTGTCCTCTAACCTCCACACGTGTGCTGTGACATGTGTGCACACCCCCATGCACGAATAAATAAATAACATAAATGTTTAAAAATTGAATAGGAGAATTCAATCATCAAATGTCTTTGTTCCCATATAAAAGGAGATGATGCCACATACTATTATAACACTGTTATCATTTAGTCAGTTATAAACACTATTAAACTACTGTTCTTGTATGTTCACTTATAAACAAATTGTAAATCACTTATAAAAAGTTGTGAAGATGTATTCATTATGTATATAATGTTCTACCCACATGTATGCCTACCTGCCAGTAGAGGGCGCCAGATCCCATAGCTGATCATGAGACACCACGCAGTTACTGAGAATTGAACTCAGGACCTCTGGAAGAACAGCCTGTGATCTTAACCTCTGAACCATCTCTCCATGCGCTGAGCATGCGCTGTCTGTGGCTTTGTCCAGGGTGCTAGGAAAGGTGCCTTGTGAACCTGTGCTTTTCTGGGTCCCCTCAGCCTCTAGGCCAGTGGTTCTCAAACTTGCTAATGCTACAGCTCTTTAGAGTTGTACATGAGGAACCCAGTACAGTTCCTCATGTTGTACTGACCCCCCTAACCATAAAATTATGTTCACTGCGACTTCCTAACTGCAATTATGCTACTGTTAATGAATCATAATACATAATCTAATATTTCCAATGGTCTTTGAAGACCCATGTGAAAGGGTCCTTCGACCTCCCAAAGGGGTCACAACCCACAGATTGAGAACCACTGCTCTAAGCTGATCAATCCGTGAGGTCAAGGCCTGTGTACAATCTCTCGTCAACTCTAGAAAATTTCAGACATCCGAGAGGTACACTTCTTCTAGAGGCTCTGAGTCAAGTGAATCACAACTGCCTGTAACACCAGCTCCAGAGGGGATGCAAAGCCTTTGTCCTCTGGCCTTTGTGGTCATGTGCACTCACATCTCATACCACCATACAGACACACACACACACACCACACATATAATTAAAATAATAAAAAATAAATCCATAAAACCAAGCAACCTAAACAGCATGGTTGCACACACATTTAGTCCCAGCACTTGGGAGGCAGAGGCAGGCAGATCTCTATGAGTTTGAGGCCAGTCTGGTTTACAGAGTGAATTCTAGGACAGCCAGTGCTACTCAGAGAAACTGTGTCTAAGAAAACCATAAAAACAAACAAACAAATGCCATTAGGCAGCATTTAGACATTGGTACCCTTACTCTTGGCTGCAGCTGACTGACCTTAGTTAAGGAGGAAACCCAGAGATTCCTACACATTCCAGCTGTCAAAGCTCGTGCTTGTCCCCACCCTTGCCCACTTGATAAAAGGTAAAATCAGAGAGAAAAAGCACAGTGAGTCCCACTGCTCCTGGGTGCTTTTCCCTGTGTGCTTTCTCTCCCTTCATGCGGTAGAAAAAGGAGCTGGCCTTAGCAGGCGTGGGCCCATGGATGTCTTCCTTGCCCCTGCCCAGAGTCAACATATTGGACTATTCTGGAATTGGGGGGCTGCATTTCCAGGCTAAGGGCCCAAAATGACTGGAACCAGGGCACAGAGGGAAGGTACAAGGAGCAGGGTGAGTTCCTGACTGCGGAAGTGGTGGTATCAGAGGCCCGCTCCTCACAGGCTGGTCGCTCACTCCTCAGGTAAGTCTGGAGCATGCTTGAATATGTACAAGGCCTATGGACACTGCCTTAAGCAACTGTCTGCACAAGGAAGAGACAGCTGACAATCCCTGTTTGCTAGGAGGATTAAAATTGAGTGGTTATTTAAAGTAACACTTTGGTTTTTACCTTGTTTTTTATTATTATCAAGACGGGGTTTCACTATTTAGCCTTAGCTGGCCTCAAAACTCACTTTGAGGACCAGGCCACCCCAGGGCT